CAGAGAAACTATTCAGTATTTTTTTTTGTTTCTTTGTGGTGTTGCGGATGGAATATAGCATCCTGAACATGCTAGGCAAATTATCTATCACTAAACTACAACCTTAGTCCCAACCACACAATAATCTAAACTGAAGAAAACTAGTGCAAAGGATAACTAAGTGTAGTGGGTTGTAATGGTGAAGATTTACTAGTAAAAAGTTTAAAGGACTTGTGTGAAAAGCCATTTCCCTCCTAAAAATCATTACAGGAACCATCACCCTGGGGAGTCTGCAGAGAACCCCACATCCATAATTATAAGAATCGTTCTATTGACAAAACCTGCCCCACACCCAATTAGCAGTTATCTGTTAGCGGAACCTGCCTCACATTCCAGCTATCCAGGGAACTAGGTGTGGCAAACTCGTGACTTCTTGGCCTACCTGACCAAACGTAACCTCCTGGCCTATGTGACCTGGACCACTTGACAAGAGTCCAGGCCCCTGTGCCCCCCCCCCAATTCCTTACCCTATATAAACTGTAACCCGTCCCTAATAAACGGAGGCTGTGACAAACTTAGCATGGCCTTCTCCTTGTTTCCTAGCCCGTTTCTCTTCCAGATAGTACCCCTCCGTGACTCCTGGAGTAACTGATTGCAGGGTGGGTTACAACCCCTAGACTGAGTGACCCACCCAATGCAATCGACAGACTTGGGTCTGGAGAGATGGCTCAGCAGTTAAGAGCACTGGAGTTCAATTCCCAACACCCACATGGCAGGCAGTTCACAAATGTCTGGAACTCTAGTTGCATGGTACTACACTGGGGGGAAGGAACTTGGGGAAAACTCTGCAGCTTGCTCTCAGCACAAATCAAGCTCTTTGCGGTCTAAGGAAACAGCAGTTCAGCTAGAATGATGGCTCATATGTGTAGCTCTGGTATCCAAAGTCAGCCCAGGCTATGTGAAACTTTGTTTAAAAAACCAAACCAAACTGAGTAAAACCCTTCAGCAGTTTATTCTCTCACCAATGTTGAAACTGGAAATCTGCGGCCAGGGATGTGCAGGGTGTCCTCCTCTGATGGGCTTAGCAGGGACTCTGCCCTTGTTTCCTCCACCTGCTGGGACTCCAGGTGTTCTTGTGGCTCTGAAGCCTATTTATTTGCCTCAACCATTACATGGCCTCCTTTTCTCTTAATTCTCCCCTTCTTCCTCCCCCTTTCCTTTCCTTCTCCTCTCTCTCTCTCTCTCTCTCTCTCTCTCTCTCTCTCTCTCTCTCTCTCTCTCTCTCTCTGTGCCTGGGAGGACACTTGTTCTTGGATTTAATGCTCCTCTGATAATCCAGTATGACCTCATCTTAAACCACTTACTTTAATTACATCTGCGAAAAACCATTTTCCCCCCATGGAAGGCCACATTCACAGGTTCTAGGAAGGAGCATTAGAAAAAGGTCACCATTCCCCCTCTAGAGCTTGTCGCCAATCATTTTTTAAAGATGGAAACTGTTCATGGGAAAATGTCTCACTGAAGACATCCTGCCGCAAAACCTCCTAAGGAATAAATAGGGTGCTGCGGTGGGGTTAGGTGCTGGGGACTACTGGCTACTGCAGCCCCCTCCTGGTACAGAAACTACTGAGCGAGCACAGAAGAGCCTCCCCCCCAAACCTATTTTATACTAGCAGTGCCTCACCACCGCTTTCTCTTGACAAAAGTTAAAAGGTATCAGCAAACAAAGGGCCCACAATATCCTTAGAAAGGGCTTTTCAAAAGAAGAAACCTTGTGTCAGGCAAAGTAGCCTAAGACTTTAAACCCAGCCAGGCGGTGGTGGCGCAAGCCTTTAATCCCAGCACTCGGGAGGCAGAGGCAGGCGGATCTCTGTGAGTTCGAGACCAGCCTGGTCTACAAGAGCTAGTTCCAGGACAGGCTCCAAAACCACAGAGAAACCCTGTCTCGAAAAACCAAAAAAAAAAAAAAAACAAAACAAAAAACGCAATGCGAGTGTGCCAGATGGGCCCCTCCTTCCTGGTAAAGGTCTCCATCTGCTGGAAAGATGGCCAAGTTTATTTTTGTTTGCAACTTTTGTCTTGGTTTTCATTTTGAGACAGTGTCTCAGCCAGGTTGTCTACTTGCAGAAGATAGCCTTGAACTCGTGATCCTGTGCCTTTACTTCCCCTGATGCTGGGGTTACAGGCATGTGAGACCAAGCCTGGCACATTANTTGAATTCTTTTTTATTTCTGTTTTTTTCTTTTCTTTTAAATATTTATTATGTATTCAATATTCTGTCTGTGTGTATGCCTGCAGGCCAGAAGAGGATACCAGACCTCATTACAGATGGTTGTGAGCCACCATGTGGTTGCTGGGAATTGAACTCAGGACCTTTGGAAGAGCAGGCAATGTTCTTAACCACTGAGCCATCTCTCCAGCCCCATGACTACTATTTCTAAGAGAAACAGCCACATCTATTTTAACTTCGAAATTTTATTGAGGTTAGCATCAAGTTAAAAAAAGTCCTGAGCTGAGCAGTGGTAGCACACGCTTTTATTCCAGCACTTGGGAGGCAGAGGTAAGTGGATCTCTGAGTTCGAGGCCAGCCTGGTCTACACAAGTTCCAGGACAGGCTCCAAAGATACAAATACAAGCACAAAATATGGGTATATTATGTACCATACTGTACTTAAAGATTTAAATATTCTTGATTCCAGAATGACCACTACCTCAACACTATCCCTGATGCTCCAGCATTACTGCTCTGATCTTGACCTTATGTAAATGGAAACATACATTTTGCTTCTTTGAGCCCTGCACCGCTGTGATGACACATCGTTTTCCCAGCTATCAGCCATTGTGAAATATGTGTGCTCACTGGATGTCCGTCTGTGCTTCATTTAGACTAATCAGCTTGTTTATTCGTCGGTAATATGAGAGTGTTATTAAGAATATGTTAAACATGACTATGATTCTAGTACTTGGGAAGCAGAGGAGTCATGTTTAGGACCGTACTGGACTACAGTGTAAGATCCTACCAAAACAAAACACGGGCCTCAAGCCGGGTCTGTAATCCCAACGACTTGGAGGAGGATTACAGGTACTGGCTTCAGTTTCAGAACAAGTTCAAGACTGGCCTGCTGAACTTAGTGAAATTCTGTCTCAAAATTAAAATCTAAGAAAAGAAAAAACCTTCAGTTTTATGTGTATGAATATTTTGCAAGCATGTATAGGCACCACCAAGTGTGTGTCTGGTGCCCATGGAGACCAGGAGAGGGCATCAGATCTCGGGGAACTGTAATTACAGAAGGTTGTGAGCAGCCATGTGGGTGTTGGGAATCGAACACCAGTCTTCTGAAAGAGTAGCCAGTGCTTTGAACCAATGAGTCTTCTCTCCAGCCTAAATTGGAAAAAAAAAAATGTAAAAAGCTGGAGCTATGGTTAAGTGTTAAAGTGCTTTCCTAGTGTATGCGAGGTCCTGGGTTCAATCTGCTGTACAAAACAAAACAAAACAAAAAACCCTGCCGGTAACAAAGTGATTGAATGCTTGCTTACCACGTGTGAGTGCGAAAACAAGCAAACAAATAATAAAAAGCAACCCAGAAAGTACATATTAACAGATTTTACTATCAGGAGAGATCACTTCCCAGATCTTTTCTTGGCTAGTTTGCCTTTGACTTTGTTTCTTGACTTTGTCCCCCCACTTAAGACAAGGTCTCACTGTTTCTTAGGCTGCCCTTGAACATGCTATCATCCTGCCAATCTAGCAAGACCGTGGTAGGCCCGTTCCACCTTACCAGGCTTAGTTGCCCTTTCTGTTCTATCCTGCAATACTATTAGGTAGTTCTAGCCCAAAGAAATTCTTTGAAGGGTGTGGTGGCAGATGCTTGTACACCCAGCATTTAGGGGATGGAAGCAGTAGGATTCCAGGTTGGAGGTTAGGCTGGTTTTTGTGACCATTTCAAAAGCAAACAAACCAACCAAAAAAAAAAAAAAATCCCCCCATACAAAACCCAAACAACCCAACCCCAAACATCCAAACCCAAAGAATGTCCTTTGACGACACAAACGTCCTCCTTGTGCTTTCGACCACAAGGCAGCCACTAGCCACGTGAGGCTACTGAGCAAAACCCGCTAGACTCTGAGAAATGGAATTGCTGTGTTTAGGGGTTTTGTTCTTTGTCCCCAGTCTTGGGGGGGGTGAATACGGGGCTTCACTGAATTCCTAATTCCAGAGCTGAGTTAATTGTAGAAAAAAAAATCTAAACTTCCATTTGTACAACACACTTCATGCTTCTCTACCACTTCCCAGTTCTTCACTTGATCTTGGCCAAAAGGCCCAGAAAATTATCAGAAGGTAAGATTCTTTTTTTTTTTTTTTTCCGAGATAGGGTTTCTCTGTAGTTTTGGGGCCTGTGCTGGAACTAGCTCTTGTAGACCAGGCTGGCCTTGAACTCACAGAGACCCGCCTGCCTCTGCCTCCCGAGTGCTGGGATTAAAGGCCTGCGCCACCAATGTAAGATTCTTAAGTACACGAATTCACCAACATTGAATTATCCTAAATCTGAGGCAAAAGGATTTCCGGAGCCAGGTTCTTGTTTCATAGAAGTGGACTTACATGTGCTTTAAACAGACAACACTAACTTTGGAGCTGTGAGTCTTAGTCCACACAAGATAATCTCCCAAATGCCTTCCTCCTCTTTTCCTATAGATCTTTATTTGCCACAAAACTTGTTGGGACCGATATGTCACAAAATTGAACACAGGCCACTAGACTAACGTAGATGGTATTTAAATAGAACTCAGATAGTGCATTAAAAAACTTGCCGGGCAGTGGTGGCACACGTCTTTAATCCCAGCACTCAGAAGGCAGAAGCAGGCAGATCTCTGAGTTCGAGGCCAGCCTTATCTACAAGTGCTAGTTCCAGGACAGGCTCCAAAGGTACTGAGAAAGCCTGTCTCGAAAACACACACACACACACACACACACACACACACACACACACACACACGCAAAAAGAAAGAAACTTGAAGACTAAGGAGAAAGAACTGGGACGGCGACTTTTCTCAACCCAGGGCCAGACCCTGCGGTGTTGCTCCAGGGTGGCGCCCGGCCCCGCCCCTCCCACCTGGGCACTCTTCGGACCACGCCCCCTCGCGCCCGCCCCGCCTCCAAGACGTCAGACCCACGCGGCGCCCAGGCGGCGCGCTGACGTCCGACGCTCCAGGTACTTTCCCCAAGGCCGGCTCGGCTCAACGTGGGGGGGCGGGGCGGGGCGCGGAGCGCGCATGCGCCACAGCGCCAGCGCTCTCCCCGGATAGAGCGGGGCCCGAGCCTCTCCGCTCTGGAGGTTCCGCTCTTGCTCGCGTTCTCCCGACGCCATGTCGGCCACCATCGAGCGGGAGTTCGAGGAACTGGATGCTCAGTGTCGCTGGCAGCCGTTATACTTGGTGAGTCTCGGGCCCGCGCGGCGGCTGGGTCTTCCGAGGATCCGAGCTCGCGCCTGCCGGCTTCGTGTCGCCTCCCCCGCCTCCCGTTCGGGCGGAAGTGGCGAGCGCGGGCCGCGTCAGGGGCGCGCCTGCGCGGAAAGCCCTCACCCCCTTTTGGCGAGGCTTTAGACGGGCAGAATCGAGGAGGCTGTAGGTTGTTGAGGCTCTAGGCTGTTGGGGCTGAAGGCGGCGCCACAGCGGCGCCTGCTGGCTGCACGGCCGGGACCCGGCGTGTGGTGCGCTGGGTGGAGGGTGGAGGGAATCCGGGAGCGGGGTGAGATAGCCTCCGGCTTCCTTGCCGACGGTGTTCTGTTCGGCCGTGATCGGTGGCGGAGGGCGCTGGGAGCAGGCGCCGCGGAACGGGCTAGACAGCCGTCTGGTCGGGGCCAGCGAAGGCGAAGCGGGGTGTCGGTGACTTGCTGTATCCCGGGGGCCTGTGACGATTAGCGGAGTCGGAGCTGAAGCGGCTGCGAGAGCTCCCGAGGGATCGGGGATCGTCACTCTTTGCACGGCTGCTTTCTCCGGGAGAGTGGGTCATCGTCTGCTAGAGCTTTCCGGAACAGAGGCTTTGGTTGTATTATCAGTGATTAAAGGAGTGTCCTTTTGAAAATTTCCTTTGCTTCTGCATACTTTATAGATTTGTTGGAGTGCACCAGAGATCTTTATGTGAGCTTTGCTTTTGGGCGCGTTTCCCAAACGAGTGCGCCGTGGTGGTGGTACTCTTTCAGCCCCAAAGAGGCCACATGTCCATAGGCCGCCGCTGTTCTCCGTCGTCAGAGAATAACCTACCTATTTAGCTCATACTAAAGTCGTTTGTACTACGAACCTTTTTACAGCTAGTGGCTTCCCTTTTCAATCCAGGCAAAACTTTTCTCCCCTTACAAACGATCCATTGCTAATCATTAACATATTGCCCCAAGATCGAATTTAGTGATCTGTGAATTATTAAGTGCTTCTTATGTTTGGCTAATTCCTACAGTACAAATAGAAGCTACAAAGCTTTCTATTACCTCTGGACGATTCTGTTTTTTCCCATCCTATTACATTTCACTAGATGACAGTGAAATATTCTTCGGTTGTTTTTTTAGGACTTATTTTTTTCCCCTACCCCTCTGTGAGACAGGTTCTTGGTCTGCAAGTCTAGCTGGCCTGGAACTAGTTTCGTATAGGTCAGCCTGACCTTGAATTCACAAATACTCCTGTCTTCCTGAGTGCTGGAATTAACTACCACACCTGGCTAGAACGTTTTTTCTTAAACAGTTTAGCAAGTAATATATTAAACCCCCTGATTCAGCATACATTAGAATAAGGCACTAGTTTTATTATCATTATTATTACGTGGTGGTGGGGGGAGGCATGTTCCTTGGCATTTGTGTAGAGCTCAGAGGACAACTTTCAGAATTAGATTATCCTGTAAGTAGAACTTGGGTCATCAGGCTTGGCAACAAACACCTTTCCCCCTCTGAGCCCAGGCACTAGCTTCTAAGGAATGTTAGTAAGGGCTCCTCCAATTAGAGAATCTGTGTTATGCTATATTTTGTTTTGTGACAGGGTGTCATTGTAGCCCAGACCTGCCTTGAACTCCCTACATTGGTACTTCCATTGTCAGAGTGCTGGGGTGAATGAAATTGTAGAAAATCTTAAATGCAATTTCTAGTTGAGTCTCTCTCTCTCTACCGCTATCTGTGTGTGTGTGTGTGTATGTGTGCACCTCTAGGTCTCTCTTGTATGGTTACTTTAGTTTTAACAGAGACTGTGCCTCAAAAATGCAAATAGAAGCAGTACAGAATTAAGAAAGAAAAGATTTCTGGGTGGCCTAGCCTGCAGTTTCCAAATTCAAGGACAAGGGCAGGCAGTCTCTGAGGTTTTGTTTTTGTTCATTTCTTTTTAAGACTGCCTAAGTAGCCTTGGCCGGCTTTGAACTCGGATCATCCTGCCTCTGCTTCCTGGGTGCTGGAACTAAAAGTCACGCCCCACCACGTCTGGCTCAGATCTTTAAGTTTTTTTTTTTTTAATTTTTTTTAATTTTTTTATTTTTTATTTTTTTGTTTTTTCGAGACAGGGTTTCTCTGTGGTTTTGGAGCCTGTCCTGGAACTAGCTCTTGTAGACCAGGCTGGTCTCGAACTCACAGAGATCCGCCTGCCTCTGCCTCCCAAGTGCCGGGATTAAAGGCGTGCCCCACCACCACCGCCCTGCCAGATCTTTAAGTTTTAAGCCAGCCTGGCCTACATAGTTCAGGCCAGTCAGGACTACATAGTAAGACCAAGTATTAAAAAAACTAATGGAAAGGGTGCTGGAGAAATGAGTAAGTAGTTAAGAGGCCTTGTTGCTCTTCCAGAGGGGCTTGATTGATTCCTAGCACCCACAAGCAGCTCAGAATTGTATCTAGCTCCTGTTCCTGGGGCTCCAAAGCCCTCTTCTGGCCTCCAGGGACACCAGGTATGCACATGGTGCCCATTCGGGCAAAATGCCTATGCACATAAAATTAGGCATGTGTGTGAAAATAGTAGTAATAATTTTTTAAAAATATTTATTTTACTGGTGTTTTAGCCTATATAAGTGTGTGAGGGTGCTTGATCCTGGAGTTACAGACAGTGAGCTGCCATATGGGTGCTGGGAATTGAACCTGGATCCTCTAGAAGAGCAGTCAGTGCTCTTAACCGCCAAGCCATCTCTCCAGCCCCGTAATAATAATTTTTTTTGGGGGGGGGGTTTTGAGACAGGGTTTCTCCATAGCTTTTTTTTGGTTCCTGTCCTGGAACTAGCGTAATAATTTTTTTTAAAAGTGCTAATACTACCACTTAATTTAGTCTAACTTATTTTTTGAGACAAGGTCTTGCTTAATATCACAAACTGGCCTGAAATTCACTATGTAGCCCTACTAGATCTGATTTGTGACAGTCCTGCCTCAGTCTTCTAAATGCTAGGATTACAGGTATGAGCCACCATACTTGGTATAATGCATATATAGCATTAATGTCCTTGAGAAGTCAGTGAAAGTTGTCATTGCTCTTAATAGCAAAAAAGCACTTATGCTGAATGTGGCAGCTCAGCCTGTAACCTAACAATTGGGAGGCTGAAGCAGGGGTGTTGTTGTGAGTTTTAGACTAGCCTTTAGCTGGAGGTTGGTGGCCCATGACTTTAATTCCAGCAGAAGCAGACAGATCTCTGAGTTTGAGGCCAGCCTGGTCTACAGAGTGAGTTCCAGGACATCCAGAACTGTGGAATAAGATCTTGTGTACAAAAAATTAAAGAAGTAAAAGCCAGTCATAGTGACACATTCTTTAATCCTAGCACTTGGGAAGTAGAGCCAGAAAAGATCTGGAGTTCTGCACCAGCCTGCCTGGGGTAATTGAGACTCCATCAGAAAATAAAAGTCTTGCTGAGAAGGTGGTCTTGTGGGTTGACTCCTCTGTTGCCACGCTGAAGGCAACTTGTGTTCAGCCCTCTGATCTGACCTCCATCCAAGTGCCTTTTTATGTGCACCCACAATAGCAAAGTTAAAATGTAATTTAAAGACATGGAAGACCAGCCTGGTCTACAGAGCTAGTGCCAGGACAGGCTCCAAAGCCACAGAGAAACCCTGTCTCGAAAAACCAAAAAAAAAAAAAAAAAAAAAAAAAAAAAAAAAGACATGGAAGATAGGGGAGATGTCTCATTTAGTAAAATGTTTTCCATGAAAACATGAGCACCTGTTGACATTAAAAGCCAGCTGTATATCTCTCTGATCTGAGTGCTGGGGTAGGGGAGACATGCAGACCTCTGGAACTCACTTGTGAGCCAGCCTCGCTAAATAAGGTTTGTGGGCAGCAGAGAGAGCTCAGAACTGCCTATAACTCCAGTACTAGAGGATCTGGCATCTTATGGCCTCTATGGGGAGTGCAAACCTGTGCACAGACACATATACGTAAAATTAAAAATAAAGATAAAATCTTTAAAAAGAAAAAAGTGTAGCCCTGGCAATGGCAAGATGATTCAAAGCCCGTGTTTCCTGCCAAGCCTGACTGACTATCTAAGTTTGGTCCTTGGTGCCCACATGATGGAAGAAGATAACTGACCTATGCAAGTGGTTCCTTGATTTTCACATGTGTGCATGGCCCCCATAAATGTCAAAAAAAACCCAAAAATGCATGTACTGGTATTCACTGAAACTTTCATATTCCATTGAAAGGAGTTAAGGAACCCTTCCACAGACCAGTCACCAAGATCTTTAAGCAGAACAGTAGTTCTGTGCTAGCACTTTATTTCCCAAACCCAAGAGCATTACAGCGTGATGCCAACTGGTGTTACAGTAAAAGCAAGTCAGGAAGAATTTGAACTTCATGCTTTCTTAGGATCCTAGAGCATCTCTTTCACCATTCCACAGAGAAGGCTGCAGATGAAATCTCTGCTGCCGAGACTGATTCCGTGAGTCTTGAGGATCTCTTTGGACGCTCATATTTTGCTCTCTTGTCTTCTTGGCTTAGGAGGTTATGTGTCAGTCTCATAATCTGAAGGTCATTTGTTCTCTCAAACCTGTTAAGTGCTAGGTGCTAATATTGACACTGAAGATAACTGTTTAAAGACAACATTAAGCTGGGCACTGGTGGCACATTCCTTTAATCAAGCACTCAGGAGGCAGAGGCAGGCAGACCTGGTCTGTGGAGTAAGTTCCAGGACAGCCAGGGCTGTCTTGGAAAACCAAAAGAAAGGAAGGAAGGAAAGAGAGAGAGCTCATTAGAGTCTACCCTAGTGAGAAGTAGTAAGTGATCTAGCAGATAAAAGCATGAAAGGGAGAGGCCTGGTAAAAGGCTCAGCAGGTACAGGTGCTAGCCAAAGCTTGGCAATCCAAGCTCTATTTTTGGAACCCTTGTACAGGTGAAAGGAGAGAACTGATTTCACATGCTCCTCTGCCAACACATGTGATGTGGCATACACACACAACAATAAATAAATGTTTTGTGTGTGAAAGCAAGTGGTG